TGCCACCCAGCAGGTCATTCCCTAGGCTGTAGGTGTGCTGGACATTTTTCCTCCCTAGGTGCAGCACTTTGCATTTCTCCTTTTTGAACTGCATTCTGTTGTTTTCTGCCCATTTGTCTAACCTGTCCAGGTCTGCTTGCAGCTGTTCCCTGCCCTCCGGCGTGTCCACTTCTCCCCATAGCTTTCTGTCATCTGCAAACTTGGACAGAGTACATTTCACTCCCTCGTCCAAGTCGCTGATGAAGACATTAAAGAGTATCAGTCCAAGGACCGAGCCCTGTGGGACCCCACTGCCCACACCCTTCCAGGTCGAAACCAACCCATCCACCACGACTATCTGGGTGCGACCCTCTAGCCAATTCGCCACCCACCGGACTGTGTAGTCATCCAAGTCACAGCCTCTTAACTTGTTCACCAGTATGGGGTGGGATACTGTATCGAAGGCCTTCCTGAAGTCTAAGTACACGACATCCACCCCTCCTCCTGTGTCCAGGCGTTTCGTAACCTGGTCATAAAAAGAGACTAGATTGGTCAGGCACGATCTGCCTGCCACGAACCCGTGCTGGTTTCCCCTCAGCATAATTTGTCCTGCCGGGCTCTCGCAAATGTGAGCCTTGATAATTTTTTCAAAGACTTTGCCAAGGATGTACCACCCTACTCCTGTTCTGAGAACTTAAGTCTGAACAAATACAAAAGAAATGCAGAAAGTTGTGCTACTCTGGTTACACTTTTAGTAAAAGTGGTTAACTTTGAACATGGACACCATTGCATTTCATTCACTGCCTTGTGCCCATGCAGCAGTTTGCTCTGACTGTAAAACTAAGTAAATTCTGGGTGAACAAAACCCTGTCAACAGACGATATGTTTCATTGGGTTCTCAGCAGGAGAGTGAATTTAAGCACTCAGGCTCTATCAGGTTTGTCCTGCAATACAGAGACTTGGCCATAGTAGCTGTACCTGCCCAGCTGTATTGTGCCATAATAGGTACATCTACAGCTCACCCTTTGCACTGCCAGGGGCGCTCACCTTCATCATGTCATCCCACCCATCAACTCCCATTCCCATGCAACAAACCCAGAAATGGAGCAGTGAAGGCATTGTGAGAGCACTCTTCTTGGCTGCCAAAAAGCACATCAGAGATAGATATCTTGAGGGCAGCTAAGGTTGGTTTGTGAGGACAATGTGCATAATGACAGAAGAGGCTTTATTACCAGAGTGCCTACATAACATCCCTGGCCAACTTAAGAAAAACTGGTAAAAGCCTTCTTCTGGAAGCATCGCTGTCTCCTCACCAGTGATGATGCCTATGATCATTTAGCATCCCCAACTATGCTGGCAAAAAGGAGACCTGACCTCAGTCTGAAAGAGGTGAGTGGAGCAGTAATTTTCAGAAGTCCTTAGAGTTTCCCTGAAAATGTTATATCACATGAATAACAGTTCAGGCCATTTAATCAGAGTGGATAGAGATTGAGGAGGAGTGTGGTTCAGGGGGATAAGAAGTCAGGACTCCTGGGTTTTGAATCTAGCCTTTCTTTTTCTTTATAAAAGTCTTATCACAAATGTCACACAGTTTGGCTCAGATGCAGAAGCTTTGATTCCCAGTTTTCTCCACTCTAGCCTGTAAGATAGAATTTCTCTCATTTTGAAGAGGACAATCCAGTGGTATTGACTTCCAGCCCCATCCTACCCTCAGTCATGAGACCTTACTACCAACTCCACTGTCTAGAAGTCACTAAACCCCACTCCCTCCCAGACTAGGATCCAGAACCGAGGAGCTGTGAGCCACCGGGCCACTCTTCCTCCACCGTAACTTAGTGGTCAGTCTTGCTCATCATTTTGAGTACAGCTCCTTTGACCTCCTTGTTCCTCAGACTGTAGATAAGAGGATTCAGGAGGGCAGACACCACATTGTACAAGAGGGAAAACATTTGTCCCGCTCGGGTGAGTAGTTGGAGGCTGGGCGCATGTACATGAACATACCTGCACCATAGAAGAGAGTCACGACAGTGATGTGTGAGGTGCAGGTGGAGAAGGCTTTGATCTTCCCCTCACCTGAGCTGATCCTCAGGATGGCTTCTATGATGAATACATAGGAGATTAGGATCAAAGACAGTGGGGTCAGCAGGATTATAACTGCCACCACAAAGATCACCAGCTCAGTGAGGCGTGTGTCTGCACAGGCCAGCTTCAAGATGGCTGGCACCTCGCAAAAGAAGTGATTGATTTCATTTAAGTTGCAGTAGGGCAACCTCATCGTGAAGCCTGTATTCAGCATGGCAAAAAAGAAGCCAGATACCCAGAAGCTGATGGCCATCTTGACACAGACTGACCTGCTCATGATGACGGTGTAGCGCAGGGGATGACAAATGGCCACGTACCGATCATAGGCCATTACAGCATACAGGATGCACTCACTTATCCCCAGAGAAAGGAAGACGTACATCTGGGCAACACAGGCAACATAGGAAATGCTTCTCTTTGTGGAGAGGAGGTGGACCAGCATCTGGGGTACAGTGGTGGTCGTGTAGCTGATATCTAGGAAGGAGAGGTTAGCCAGAAAGAAGTACATGGGTGTGTGAAGACGGGAATCACTCTTGACAAGGGCAATGAGGAGGCTGTTCCCAAAGAGGGTCGCCAGGTAGATAGCTAGGAAGAACACAAAGAGCACCAGCTGTGTATTGGGGTGGCTGGAGAGCCCCAGCAGGATGAACTCTGACACTGAGGTTGTATTATCCCAGTTATATTCCTCATCGTTTTCCATCTAAGTACAAAAACAAGTGGGGAAAGAAGCAATCACTCAGCAGGATAAAACATAAAAGGGGCTTTGAATCCTTCAATGGCAATTACACACCCGCGTAACTGCAGATTTTGGCACTTATGCACAGTTTAAAATTCACCTCTGATCTTGCAAGTGTGTACATATCACCTGAACATACTAACTATGCACATTTACAGCAACATATTCTTACCCAGGCATGCACATAGCCTAGGAGGTCCAAAAAAAGTTGGCAGGCAAAAAGCCACGATTAGGGAATAATAGATTGTGCCAAGTTCCTGAAAATAACAAGATATTTAATTCTGAAGGAAAAAAAAAACATACTTACCCTGTCATACACATAGCCTAGGAGGTCCAAAAATAGTTAAAAAAAACAGACTAACTACTACTGGAAAATTTCTGACCTACTGTAATCTTGCAGTCTCTCTACTCTCTTAAAAACTTCACTCCCTAATGACATCTCTGCTTTGACAGTCTTAACTCCATTGCTGGGATGGTCAACAACAAGCCAAAGTGGAGCCACTTCCCTGTTCTCCTCAGGGGTCCAGGTCTGCATTGCCCCCCCGACACAAACCAGTTGCAAACCTGCCTCAGACACAGCCAACTTATGGATCCCTTGGCACAGCAAAGTGCATCAATGTACTCATCACTTCTCAGTGATTCTGACTCATCATATACTGTTGCAATTGGGCAGAAAAACACCAAAACACAAGAACTTGTTAGAAGGATGTTGAGTACAGCACCGCAATGGTCACGTGGAAACTCAACATAAACCAGACTAGCTGGGTGTTGAGTGAGAGGTGCCCTGATGCAGGACATCTACTCCCCAGGATTCAGGATGGAAAGTCACTCAGTGCCCCTTCACTATCCATCTCCCCTCGTCCTTTCCTGCTGGACTACACCTGTGAACCAGCTCCTCATTACTTATTTGCAAGGGCACAGGAACTCACAAACTGTGCCAAGCTACTGGTCCAGCATGCACGACTGCCTGCCTTCAACTGTGGCCGGTATCAGCTGCATTAGAGGAAGGTACAAGGGGACACTTATGGAGCAACAGTGCCACAAAGAAAGCTAATGCTAAATGCCAGTAGTTGGAGACAGGCTTGTATTCTGTCCCTCACCTTCATTAATACCAATTCTTTGTTTCCCCTTTTACCTTAATGTTCAGTGTCTACACCCCTCATTCTGGTATTTTCATCCCAGCAAAGCTCACAAGAAATTCCACTTACCTTCATTCTCCTCTTGCACCCGAGAGAGCAGGATACTTCCTTTAGCTGCCAAAATCGACGATCAAGATGTACCAAACAATGGATCACCATAAATTAATCCTTCAGGCCAAGGACGAGATAGTCCGTACACATTGCTAAAGCTTTCCTTATTTGTGGAAAACCGTGCCTGGATGACAATCATACATGGCATGTGAAGTAGAAATAGTAATAGTTCTAAAAAGATAAATTAAGCAGAATGCTATTAGACAAGCCAGTCAGTTACAATTCAGTGGCAAGGCATTGCTAAGTACATTGCTGCTTTCTGTTTCAGGAGATTATGAAGTTAATTTGTAACATTGCTCATGATTTTGGTTTGATCGGAATAGAAGCACAATGGGGAGATAGTTAATCACCGTACAAGTCCTCTGCATGTGAATCTAGAGGAAATCTATCCTTCATTTGTTTTTCCTCAGCAAATTTTTGGTTTTTTAATATCTTTTCTTTTCCCAGTACCATGAATCTTATTCAAAATACCACTAAAAAGTGAAGGGGAGGTCCAGAGGCAACCGCTAAAATGATGACAATTTTCATATAATAAAATATTAAAGGAAAAAAGTGAGACTACTCAAAGAGTGCAGGTATAGAGAGATTCATTCCCTTCTCCATCCCGCTGCTCTTCACATGAACTGAAAAGTTTATGAGTAAATTCAAGAATATTTTCAATTATTTCAAACCTGGTTTTGAATCCTTAAGTCATTTCTTTCAAAAAAGACAGGCACCAAAGGCAAAAGCTACTTGCCACTTTCTTAATAAAACTCTCCGGGGTTTTATTCTCCAACCGTTCAATTAAAACAAAGTCAAAACCAACTTGCAACTATCTCACCTTCTCTAGGGCTTTCCTCTCCAATTGTTCAATTAAAACAAGCAGAAGGTGAAGATGTACACAACGGAGCAAAACATTTTGTTGTTTGCTGAATTTATTTTATTTTTTCCTTCTTGGGGAAAAAAGAGTGGGAATTGATGTGGGGAAGAAATGGCCAGAAGTAATGAGACCTCAAAATATTTAGCGTGGTTTATTTCAATAAGAAGGCAGGTGTGGGAACTGAACTATCATCTCCCACACCTTTGGTTGGGAGGTTGGTTGGCGAGACCAGCAACTATTGGACAAAGCAGGGAAAGGCCTGGATCCAAGTCTGGTCGCCATGTCTGGCCCTATGTTACTCAAAAGACTGAGCTCCGCTTCCTTCCTCTGGAAGCACACAGGCACCGACCTGCAGCAGTCGGCTCTGGGCTGTAAAAGCCAAATGGAGCGAAGGGCTCTCTCTGTATTGAGAGACATGGAGTGGACTTCACAACAGCCAGCACCATGACCTGGGAGCTGATGAGAGCGACCAGCACGGCCGACTCAATACTTTTCTGCCTCTCAACAGCTCTCTGGTCAGGGCTGCCTGTTGCTGATTGCATTCAATGTGTCCTACCCCTCACCAGGTTTTATACAAGGAACCTCCGTTCCTAACCCACGATGTGAAATCCACATTCAATTAATGGCATAATAGGAACCAGCCATAACATTGTTACACATTTTTGTGGCATTATATTGTGGTTCATTCTTTCTTTTATGATGCCTTTCATTTCCTTAACATGCAACTGGGTTACAAGTTAAGACATGATTAACTAGTGAATCATGTCTTAAGTGTAACACATGGCAGAGGCCAAAGTCAGGTGCTTTAGAGCTCAGCATCATGACACCTAAGTCCCTTTCTGGACTTCAGCTTTCTTTCTAAATTTCCCTTTTAAGTAAGTAACTGAGATCTCTGGGCCCTAGAGATGCCAGGCTGCCTCCAGGAACTTCATCCATTCCCACCTCCTGCTTGTCTTCATTCCCTAGTCACCCACATTTAATTTCTGTATGTCTGACACAATATCATAATAAACTTAACAGAATTCTTCAAACTTTCTTCTCCCCTTCCCCATACCGATTTTTCACTGTGGGGAAAAGACTTCTTGGCAAAAGCACTGCTCTCAGTTTGCTGTGTCTTTTTTGTCTTCTGATGAATAGCCCTAAGCCATCATTGCTTACGACCACGCTTCCCACCATGGGTCAGTTGTCAAGGCATTTTCTCACGAAGTGAGAAGCCTGACCCCTCGGCACATGTCAGAATAAGCTGGGAGTCACACACGTGAGGTATGTGATTCTCAAACATATTGATGCCATCAATACATCCCAGATCATTTTCAAGCAGCAATTCTCCTTGTTTTATGACACCTTTTATATGTAATACACCAAGAATGGAATGAAATGAGTGGCCTGGAGGCAGATATTCAAACTAGGGCTTTTTTGAATATCCTCCAGCACTAGAATATTTTTCAGGGATTCACTTCCATATTTGGTAACACCCAGCAGAAATTAAGTTGAAGAGATTTAATTCCACCCCAGGCAACCAGAGGAACTCCACCACAGGTCCTAGCACTAGGCAGGAAACATCTAATGGCAACACAGATCAAGACCTCCCCACAGCAGATGCTGCACACAGATACGCAGCTCCTATTCCAAAGAGCTCGCTGTCTCAACTGACATGATAAGTCCTAGCACGAGCAGGGAAAGAAACACACCATATCTCATAATATATAATATATGGTGAGATATGTCCAATCTGTCAACTCCGCATATCACTGGAGTTCACAGCTCATGGTGGATTCGTTCCCCTAGGCCATAATATGTGAGGAGTGCCATGCACCTGGTTTCCCACAACCAGCCCTAACAGAAGGGACATAAGGAAGCATCGATCAAAAATGACAACCGTGCTTTCATTCCATCTTTGTTTCTGGATAAGTAACTAATGATCAGAAACAATGAAAATACTCATTGGCTGAAGGAAAAAAATCACAGGAGAAATAAAAACCAAGGAATCTTTAAGACTGATGTCCAGCTCATATTATTTCTGCACTGATAAAGCTACATTTGAAAAGATCCTCAACAAATGGATGTCTTCTGTTATTCCTCCATAGTCCTGGATTCCTGGACTTCAAGCATGCTGGTATCAAATGAGCAGAACATTTCACTGGAAGTGAATTTCCTCCTTGAGATTGTGTCTGAGGTGGGGGTTATTCCATGAGAAAATAAAAAAAAAGAGTTGATAGTTCAGGAGAAAGCAGAGACATAGGGACCAAATAAGAGTGGCACATATTCAGACACTTT